CCCCCCCCCCCTCCCCAGCCACATCTGATCTGCTTGGGGTCGAAGCAGGTGTGAGAGCCGTGCGGGGGAGGGGTTGGGATGAGAACCTGTGGGACAGCCCCACAGGGAATTCCCTCAGCAGGGCCAGCACTGTCCCCCTCCTTAGTCACTAGGAGGCTCCCAGCCCCAAGCCACTGGTCCAGCTATAAATATTGTCCAGACCAGGATGGAAAACGGCTTCGCATGCTCTCAGACCTGTGTGCTGCCCCGGGTCTGCATCCTCTAAGAAACCCACCTCTTTTCTTCAGTCTGTGGGGACATGAGGGTTGAGGAGCTGGATGGAGTGATCCTAGGGTCCCGAAGCACTGGGGGGCAGCTCACCTGGCAGAGTAACCGGCGCCTCTCTGCCGTCTTTCCCTGCGGGCTTGTTCCCAGCTCTGTGTCTCCCTGAGGTTTAGTTCTCATCTGTCGAACCAGCTCTCCCCCAACCCAGCCAGTGTTCAGCTTTCTCCTCCAGCTCTGCCTTTTCTGTCTGCCAGAGGCTGCTGGTGATGCTTTGGGGTCATCCTCTTTACCACACCTTCATCACCCCTTGGGTGTGGGACACAGGGGTAATAGCCTTGCGTTCTGGCATTTCTCCCACGTCCCAGACTGGTACACGTCAGCCACACCAGCAGCCTGGATGTACAGGGAGGGACTGAGCCTCCGTTTAGACCGTGGAGCATCCCTCGGAGGTCTATCAGGGCAGGTTAGATAATGGGGGAGAAGGGGAAGTGGGCCAGGGGAACGAGGGAGGCCGAGGAGGGAAGGGAAAGGGCGTTTCTCGTGATGAGCCCGACAAACATAAAAGATGACAGGGAAGTACTCTGATATTCTTCCCTTTTCAGGTCAATAAATAATTTTTGGCCAAGGCCAAACTACTCTATCTGGCATCACACTTTTTTTTTAAACCAGTTTTCCTAGTACAGTCCTTCCCTTCTGAGCTCTTTACTATAGAATAAAATTGATAAACGTGAGCCAATGTGTGGTTTAGGATCCATCAACAAGTGAGGTCTGTCCCAGGACAGCCAAAGTTCAGGGACTGCAGGGCAGGGACACCAAACATCTGGTCTACAATTACATTTTGTTCTAGGCTAAATGGGACTGTCCAAAGCAGGTGGGGAAATGAATACCATTAAAAGCACCTTTTCTAACATAAATCTGAAGGCCTATCATCTACCCACGAAGATTAAAAATGTGTGATTTGAGGGCCTGGAGGTTCTGTAATATCTCACTCCTCTGCAGGCAGAATATAAGAAAAGAGATCTAAGGGGATGGTGTGAGATGAAATACTTTCTGAATAAAGAAAATAGAATGCCGAACTGCAATTATATTCTTTGCAGGGGGCTTCAGAAACAGAAAAGGTTTTCACGCCTTTGTGGAGTATGGCTCCCCTGAAGGTAGCCAGTTTCTGTAGGGGCTTAATAATCCCAAGAAACACGTTAACTAGGGCAATTGCTATTTCTTCACTGTTCCTGAGAAAATCAGGTCCTGGTTATGGATTCCAAAATTTGAAGGCAGAGGTTGTTGGCACTGAGAAAACCCTCGTACTGCACCAAGCCACCTAGAAGAACCAGCAGCAATTCTAAAAACCAGATTCTGAAATCACGAGGGTCAAGGAAATCTATAGCTGCTAGTGCTGGAGGGCAAGGATTTGAGAGTAATGATCTTGAGTCTGAGATTAGAGCTAGTTAAAATCTCATAGGTTATCAGCCTGCAAGAGAAGAAAATAAAATGTAAACGGTGCCCCCCTCCATCCCAACACCCCATGGGTAACAGTGCTTAGGCTCTTATTTGGAAGGCCAAAGATGGGTTTCTGGGGAGTTCTTTGAAAAGCTCCTAAATTTGGAAACAAATTCATAAGCATGCATTTATCTATGAGATATGTATACCGTATATGTATTCTTCTGGGGTTTTAAGTAGACTTTCTTGAGGTCCATGAGACTAGAAGGTTAAAACCTATAGGCTTATAGAATTTCTATTTGAAGAAAGGTTGTTGAAATGACCATCTGGGTCACAGGTGCAAGGGGACGTGTGTTAGGGTATAGGTGGTCGTGAACAAGCCAGCCCCTTGGCATCCCCACATCAATTTAAGCAGGAACTTTCTCCCTGGGTTAAACCCTTGTTTTCAGACTCCCACCTCTTCAAGTCTGGCCTCTCCAACCATTGGACGATACACCATTACATTCTCTTTAAGGTGCTTTCAGTCATGACTTCCCCTCTGCACACCCAGCCTAGCATGGAACCCATGACCACCTACTTTCTGAAACTTCACCTAGGCAACTGCAACTTCCTCTGAACACACTTTCCCTTTGCAGTTGTCCTCACTGGCAGTCATTTCTCCTCTACTGCTTATTGGACCTTGCCTTCCAGATCCTTCAAAAATCCCTGGTCCCTTCCCATACCCTGCATATGAGGCCTTCTCGAGAGCGCTGGACAGGGCTCTTTCTTTCTCCCCTTCTGTATTTTTTAATTTTTTTATTTTTTGCGGTACGCGGGCCTCTCACTGTTGTGGCCTCTCCCGTTGCAGAGCACAGGCTCCGGATGCGCAGGCTCAGCGGCCATGGCTCACGGGCCCAGCCGCTCCGCGGCATGTGGGATCTTCCCGGACCGGGGCACGAACCCGTGTCCCCTGCGTCGGCAGGCGGACTCTCAACCACTGCGCCACCAGGGAAGCTCCCCTTCTGTATTTTTGAACACGATACAGTACACTTTTTCCCTATTCTCTGCCCAAAAAGGGCTAAGATGGAATAAAGTCTTTGGTCTCAGGCTCCTTCTCCCAGCTCAGTGGGAAAAATCTCTGGCCCCAAAAAGTGAGGAGGGAGAAAATCTCATGCTAAGAAAAAAGTCACAGAAGCAATATTGTTAGCTGAGAGCATGAACTCAAGTTGCCAGATTGTTTCCCATCCTGGCCTCCGTTTCCTCAGAAAGGCAGTAACTTAACAGGGTTACAGAGAAAAAAGAACTCATGCGAAAGTCATAGTGCCTGCCCCAAAGTGAGCTCTGAATGTTAACTTGTGTCATTAAACTGAAGCTCATTCTGTGAGACGGTTAACAGCCATCTCAGATGCCCGGAGAGGTAGGTGTACACATGCAGGTGGGCTACGGGGTTAACAGATGTGTAATGTGTTAACCCTGTGGGATCCACCATGCATCCTCATAGGATCAGCATCCTTCATCCTTTTAAGGTAGCAATGATTTCCCTGTGTTTAGATAAGGGTGAGATTAGGTACCTTAGCCACGGTCTCTGATACCTTAAAAGGCCAAGCCACCATTTGCCATCTATTTAATTCTAGAGTCCATGTCCTTAAAGCTACATCTTTTTTTTTTTTTTTTTTTTTTTGGATAATTGAAGTCTCTGAGCCTCATTTTCCACTTCCAGGGAGATGACGCCCTCCTGGCCTGCGGGAGGATGGTGTAAAGCTGCACAGCGCCTGGGAGATGCACCGAGCGCTCGGGCAACTGTAGCTGTTATGAACCTCTTCGCCTCAGACCACTTTCCCCCTCTGCTCATATCCCATCTGCTCCATTTCTTCCTGTTTTCCTCTTCCCTATTACAGGAAACAGGATGGGGGAGGGCAGCAAACGGCCACCCCCAGCTCAGGGATGGGGTATAATTTTAGAAAATCCCCTGGCAGAGGGGACAGAGCTCTGAAATTCAACCTGATACCCTTATTCAAGGGTGGGGCGGGAAGGACATGGAATCCAGCTCAGCATATGCTGCTCTTTAATCCCCAACACACCGGCCTCCCAAACTCTTTCCTCCCACTATTCCAGTGCCCCTCCCTGAGGCTGTGTCTCCACCCCCCACCCCCGGAGAAGGTCCCCGGGTCCAGCCCGCAATGCAGGTCAGTGCCCCTCCTCCACCCAGTGATGTTTCAGCTCAACTTCATCCCTGTTAACTCTTCCTCCTCTGGATTCCTGGACAAGCTTCCTTCCCCCAAGGTCCACAGCAGCTTCCTACCACAATGCTCCAACAGAACGTATTAGCCCCGTAGCCCACCTGCATGCGTATACCCACCTCTCTGGGCGTAGACACATCACACACCGAGAACTCCCAGGTTACACAGCCCACTGCTTAGACCTCTTCCATGCTGCCCGAGAATTCTCTTACGACCTATGCCCACCCCGGAAAACCTTAAATCCAAACTGGATCACGTGAGATGGGAAATTCAAGGATCCTCATCCTATTCTAGCTCAACCTGTTTCTCCAGCCTCCATCCCATAATCTAAGCAATCCAGAACTAACACTGCTTGCCAGTGACTCTTCCATCTCTTCTGACCATGAGGAATCCCAGTGCTGGTAGCCATATTTTGGGGTCGCCTGTGGCCATGACAATGGAGATGGGCTCATCCGAGGTGTGGATCTGGTTGTATAAGAAAGATCTGGCAGGGCTTCCCTGGTGGCGCAGTGGTTGAGAGTCCGCCTGCCGATGCAGGGGACGTGGGTTCGTGCCCCGGTCCGGGAAGATCCCACATGCCGCGGAGTGGCTGGGCCCGTGAGCCGTGGCCGCTGAGCCTGCGCGTCCGGAGCCTGTGCTCCGCAACGGGAGAGGCCACAGCAGTGAGAGGCCCGCGTACCGCAAAAAAAATAAAAATAAAAAAGATGTGGCAGCAAAACAAGAGGTGTTCGGCTCTGGGTATGCCTTGTGAGGTGGTGAGGAACACTGTTAAGAAGCTAAGGCAATGGAAATAAATGGGCTTTAGAACACAGATTATCTACAGCTACAGAGACGTCAGGCACACATCGGTAATAAATATGAGCGTTTATTTGGCACCAGATGGCAATACAAAATCCTGGCAGTGGGAAGAGGAAAGGTTCTGTCACCCAGATACTTCCATACGATAGTGAGCCAAGGGCAGGACTTGGCAACAAGTCTCCGAACCCTGCAGAACAAGTATTCACTGAGCACCTGAACCACGAGAGGCTGAGCAGTGTGCCCGGAACCGCACGAGGTGTGGAAAACGTCCTACGCGTGACTTCTGTCTTCAGGAACTAATAATACGAGTGGATAAAACAAAACATGTGGGAAAATACAGAGTACAAATACTAAACTGGGTATTTTTCAAAAAGGGAAATTTTGTCAAAAAGTAGGAGTCTAGCTAGGGTCGCTTCCTTCCTTCCGCAAACATTTATTGAAGATCCAAGACATGCCAGGCACTGGGTACATATTAGTGAACAGAAGAGACAAGGTTTCTGCTCTCATGGAGCTTAAAGTGGAGATGGGAAGGATCAAGTGAAGCACCTAATTGATGATTATGCATTGTGATAAGTGCAATGAGGGGGATTAAACAGGACACAGTAATAAAGAAACATGACTCTTAGAGACAGAATGGCCTGGGAAGGCCTCCACAACAAGGTGGCATTTAAGCTCAGACTTGAAGGATAAAGAAAGAAGCCACCAGAGCCAAGAGTGGTGAGGCGTGGGGCTCAGCGGAACCAGAAGAATGTCTGATGGCCTCGGGCAGGAAAGGCCTCAGAATGTCTGAGAAACTGAGGACGGCAGTGGGCTGTTGCTTACGGGGAAATCAGCACTTAATGAGGCCCTGCAGGCCAAGGTAAAGAGTCTGGATTCTATTTGAGGTGTGATAGGAAACCAGAGGGTTCCAAGCAGGGGAGTAACAGCATCAGATTTATATTTAAAAGCCCAAACCAATGGGCTTCCGTGGTGGCGCAGTGGTTGAGAGTCCGCCTGCCTATGCAGGGGACACGGGTTCGTGCCCCAGTCCGGGAGGATCCCACATGCCGCGGAGCGGCTGGGCCCGTGAGTCGTGGCCGCTGAGCCTGCGGGTCCGGAGCCTGTGCTCCGCAACGGGAGAGGCCACAACAGTGAGAGGCCCGCGTACCGCAAAAAAAAAAAAAAAAAAAAAAAAAAAAAAAAAAGAATAGGGAAGTTTCATAAAAGCACAGATAAAGATGGCTTCTAGGGTGAACAAATAACATATATAGCAGTGGTCTCCCTGAAATGGAAAGTCGTAACGGGAAGGGGAAATAGGCCACATAAAATCAAGAGGGGATTTAATACTGAAGCAGAAAGAGGGAACAAGGTACTACACATCCTTGAGCAGCCAAATGATCCAATTAAGCAGTATTTTAGACAGAGTTGGTGGCAGCAGTAAACAGGATGAGACGAAGGTAAAGAAACAGGAAGCAGGGAGATAACTAGGAAGCTTTTATAGAGGGGACACTTCATAGGAAGAAAAACGAGGATAAGGTGACAGATTACAGAGTATGAGCAAGCATACCACTCTTATCTGCCTCTGCTGACACTCCCCGCAAGGCTCATTTCAGGTACAAAGCTCAGAGAAAGGACAACCAATTAAAAGATCTTTGAAACTTCCATGGGCAAAGATCAACAGGCAACAGATACAAGACATCCAAACCCTAACCTCTGCTGAATGCTGGATTCCCTGAGCCCCAAGGAGCCAAAAGTGGAGTTGAGAAGACAGTCCTTCCGGGGGGTGACCTTCTGGAACCGAAGGCAATGAACGCACAGGTACGGGCCCACCCACAGCAGCAGAGAGTGACTCCTGTCCTGCTTGGCCTTTTGAAACCAAATGAAAACGGTCTATGTTAAACCAGGACACCTTCCAAACTCTCACTCTGAGACAAATGGGGCTGGGATGTGACAGAAAAGATGGGAGATGACCTCTGAGACATCTCAACTAAAGTAATAAAAGCAATCACCAAAGCTTCCTACAAGAGCCCTGGGGGCAGAAACTGAACACAAATATCGAGGAAACCCACATGGCCTCTCCCCACCGAGACACTATGTTCTGTTCGTAACATCACTTGCCAGGTCCCTCAACTGAGGCCAAACGCTCCAGGCAACAAGTCCAGCCGGAGCTGGTTCCACAGGGAGAGAGCCTCCCATGGGAGTAGCCGGCCTGTAGTCTGAGGTCAAAGGTGGAGACGATGGGCGTGTGAAATGAGCCTGGGATATTCCCAGTCCCTGAGGGGGAGGGACAGAAACCGTGCGTCCTGGAGACAGGAGGCTCTATCACGCCTCCCGTGGTCCAGCGGCCTCCATGTGGCACAGGTGATGGGAGGTGGCATCACGTGGGAGGGTGTCCCGGGAAGAGATAGAGGTGGCGGCACAGAGTGCTACAGTACTCGGACATCTCCTTGCATCGGTGGAACTCCGTGCCTGGGGCGTAGCCTTCACGCTCCTTGATGAGCGCGTTCACCTGCAAAGGCAGAAACCCAGGGCCCACGGTTTGAGAATCGGGTGTTTCCATGATCCCAGCAGAAGAGGAAGGGTAGGGAGACTGTGAAAAACAGGGCAAGGGCGGAGGAAGGTAGAACAGCGCGGGGACGTAGAAGGTTCCTGGCGCCACTGAGCCGACTTACCTCCACGAGCATGTCGGCCACATGCTTGTCACAGGCCCTCTCACAGAACACCTGAGTGAGGGCCTCCACGTACCAGGAGCCCCGCTTGGTGTTGCGCATGGCAGCGGTCCCTGCAACCAGGACAGCAGTGAGCACACAGGGAAGGTCCCGGGCACCCTCACACAGCTGGACGGACCTCGCCAACACCCGCTCCCTCTGCAGTCAGAGAGAGACGCCACCTTTTGGATCTCTCCTTTGGAACTCACGATACCTCTGAGGCAGGCGTAGCCACAAATCATGTCGGAGCGAGTGGGCAGTCGCATCTTCAGCCCCTCCTCTTTACTGGCATCGCTCTCCTCGCACTCGGGGGATCTCTCATGGTTCTTCCCGTCTTGCTGGTCGACCCCACGATCCGTTTCATCTGTACAAAGGCAGACAGAGTGGACAGAGATGTTATTTCCTCTCTTGGGCCTGTCACAGGCAAGCCCGAGTTCCCTGCAACCTTGACTGGGAAGAACCATTTCCAGCTGTTGCCTCCAACCTGTGGCTGATGAATTAAAAAACAAACAAACAAACAAACGAACGAACACCATTACTCCCATTCCTCTGCCAGAGTACACCGATCACACAGAGGGTGCCCATGACAGGCCGGACACCGTGCCCAAGCACATGCACATATACACAGTCTGAGCTCTGTCCACTCTGTGTAAGACAGGGGAAGTGCTGAATCAAAAACTCCTTGTAAACAGAATGAAAAGCCATCTGTGTCCATGATTCACTTGTTCAATTGTCAATATTCCTGGAAGTCAAAGTGCTCCTTATTGCAATACACAATAAAATATTGATATAGTTTTATTATATAAAAAAGAAAAACAAGAAACCAAAAATATGATTACTACATTTATGCTACATGAAAACTACAACCTCAAATCTATCTATCAATAAACAAATTATAAAACTAAGCATGATCAGCTGTTTTCAGAGTGTTTTGGGTATTTTAAAATCACTTATTGTTTATTAATTTCATAAGCCAAATTGTAGCTGGCGTGCAAAATTTAAGAGAAATTTAAAGAAACTTAAAATTGGGATAATTTGACTATTTTCTCCTACACAATATAAAAAGAACACTATTATCCAATATTAGCAGTAGATTCTCAACATACCCTGAGCACATGTCCAACCTCCTGACCTAGGCCTTATCTACCCCAAGACATGCTCTCCTTCTGATGCTGTTGTCGTGGGGGCGGTAGGAGAGACACAGGACACACGGCTGTCACGCCGAAGGTGAAGGAGTAAGTATGCTTTCTTATACCTCCCTCTCCATAGGACCCCCAAGACAGCCTGAAACGGGTGTGAGGCTTGAAGGTCTGTGCAGAAAATGACCAAGATTCACTGATCCAATAAAAATTTATTGAGCAACTGCCATATGCCAGGCACTGTTTTTGTTTGAAGCCCTAGGGATATAGTGAAGAAAAAGTCCCTGCCCTTCTGGAGCTTACGCTCCAGTTTAGGAGCCAGTCATCTGGGGTGGGGCGGTCCTTCTAAGAGGCATCAATTACGTTAACTAAATACAGCGGAAGACAGTTGAGCTCAGGCTTTCAAAGGAAGAGCTGGCTACGGGTCATGCCTTGAAGGATTTAATTGTAGAGAGAAGATTCACGTTAGCCCAGAAGAGAGCAATTCTTCCCTATCCAGGTCTAGTATTTGTATATAATCTCTGAACAAAGGAAGAGAAAATGATCATGAACATGTTTATTTCCTTTTACTTTGCTAGTGACACCTCCTAAAGGAAATAGGCCAAGCTGAATGTGTCCCTCAAGAGAAAGGAGACTCCTCCCTTGTCTTTGTGTCTCAGATCTATTAATCAATAAATGTTTCTTTTCACAGTATTCCCATATATGTTTTTTATATTATTGCTACGCTTTTTAGGCAGATTAATTTCCATCCATTCATTCAGTATTTATGAAGTGCTACTGCATATCAGGTAGTGCTCTGAGCCCGGGGATACAGCAGGTGCATAAAAAAGTAAGTTCCTGCCCGCACATACTCTTTTCTTAGCACTTTTCCCTGCCATGGTAATCGTCCTGAAAAAAAATTTATCGTATTATTTCTTACTTAAGCTCCCAGTAGCTCTGTACTATTATCTGTCAAAGTCCAAAGTCCAAAATCTCAGCTGTAGCTAAAGGTATATGATCACGTGGTCAGCCACATCTCATTACATATGACTGATGCAGATGCTCAGTTTTTAAATTAGATTTGGGCATACTTCTGGGTCAGCACACCTTTTTTGGGGGGCGGGAAGGGGATATCTTTTTAATCTTGGTATGCTTGTCATATTGCATCCCCCCCTTTTCCCTGAAAGGATCTGTTACTCCACACCCATATAAAAAATGTATTATTTGAATGCTTGGACAAAGTGACCTTTAAATCAAACTACAAGCCCCTTAGGGGCACAGATCATGTCCTAACAGTCAGAGCTGGCACTTTCTGCGGATTTCCTATGAGCCAGGTACTGTGCTAAGTAAGTCCTTCATACGAACCATTTCACGTAATCATCACAACAGCCTGACCTTATGAAGTAGGTCTGATGATTATCTACATTTTATTCTGAGGAAACTAAGGTGCAGGGGCATCAAGTAACTTCTCTAACGTGACATAACTAGTCAGTGGTAGAGGCAGAATTTGACTCCACATTTAGAGCTTTTAATTATTATTGTTTTCCTCCAAGATGAGAGGCAGGCCTCCATGTCTTCTGAGCCTAGTCGGGGAGTCCTGGCTCTTCAAGGGGTAAAAGAGACTGCGTGCAAGAAAGAAGAGGGCCGGCAGCAGCTCACAGAAGAGCACGAGCCAGAGGCTGACACGGCGCTTCTGCGCTGCTTTCCTGCGTGACACGTGAGTGACACAGAGAAGGGAGGAGACAAGAACGGAGTGTAGGTGAGACGAGAAGTAAAAGGAGAAAGTGGAAAGGGGGAGGGGGGTGGAGGAAAAAGAGGAAGAGGATAAAGCGAGAGGGCTAGGAAGCAGAGACAGCCGGAAAATCCTCAACTGGAATGAGTAACCAAAAAAGCGCATCGGGGTTAATAAGCACAGAGAGAAGGAAGCGTCCTGAGGAAAGAAGGCGAAGACACTGGTAGAGAGCGTCTGGAGGACAGGATGTGGCAGGTGCACAGAGAGCTGACCAACCTGAGAGCCAGGGGCTGCCCAAGTCCCAGCACACCCCATGCATTGGGAGACACTTACAGAGCAAGAGAGGCGGTGGCAGCAGTGAACAGAAGGAGGTGCCCAAGGGATCCGATAGCACCTGAGAGGAGCAAACAGGAAAGTGAGAGCTGGTGGGAGGCTGCCCAGGAGCCACACCCAGGTGCTGGTCTGCCAGGGCACTCACCTCCACGGCAGGCCTGGATGAAGAACATTTTCGGTTTGTTCTGTAGGCTCGGGCAGTTGGCATTGTCAAAGAGCCGGAAAACCTCTTGTAGCTGCCAGAAACAAATAAGGGAGAAGGGAGGTTGGTGGTCAGTGGGACCTCCTGAGTCCTACACACAACAGCAGCCATCACTGGAGAGAGGGGCAGGCGGGAGGTGAAGCGGCCCAGCTTGCAGAGCTGCGGCCACGGGACGGCACGCACCTGAAGCAGCGTGCCGTCCACGCCATAGACACCGCCCTCCACGCCGTGAGAGAGGAGCGCCACTATGCAGGAGTCCGTGACACGGTGAGCGGGTAGCTGGGCAAAATCCCGGAGCTTCTCTTGCATTTCCTAGAAGAAAGACACCTTTCAGCGTTGTTCACTAGTCAGCACCAATGTAAGCTTTTCTTCAGTGTCTGAAACCCTAAGCTATTAGAAGGTACAGTGTGTTCCCTACATTCCTGTGGTCAATGGTAAGTGAAGTCAGAGATGCACCAGAAAACTACATGACTTCAGACAAAATTCTGAATATAATTTTACAATTCACAGACTCACTGAGGTATGTTAAGAACTCCTGGATTAAAACAAGTTATCAGCGAAGCTAATCATGCACGAGCTACAGCTATAACTCGATCCGTTCTCCAATCAGCAACCTGAACCTTCTTCAGAGCACATGCCCTTGTATATAAATGGCACAAGGCGGGCCGCCGGGTAAACTGGAACAGCTACAAGAACTGCTGTGTGACACAGGGCTCACAGGATCCTGAGAGTAGAGAACAGCAGTACTCCTTTGCTGTTGTCTGTCTGAGAATTTAAGTTCCTGGAGACAGTGATGATGTCTGCATAAAACGCTTTGTCCATGGAAGAACACACTCTATGGAGGATTCTGTAAGGGTCATGACTACATATATGGGCCAAGGGATCAGACAGACCTCAGCTGGATCCCTAGTTTCATAAATCAGAACAAGTTATTTAGCCCCTCAAGGCTCTAGTACCCGTTTTGTAAGACAATTAAGCATAAATTTCCTCCAAGTTTGTAAAGATTAAATGCGATATGGCACAGAAAGGACTTATCACTATGTCTGGCGCATACTGCAAAGATCTGCCATTACAATGTGCTTGTCTAATGAAGGGTAACGATACTATTTTTTCAAAGAAACCGTGTAGTCTAACTTAAGAATCTTTTTGATCTTACACTAGACTGCCATATATGAGTAACACTCTAACTGAAGCATTATACCTAACAGTATAATAATATGATACCAACTTTTAAACCTATGTCTCCCTCTACAACTCAAGATGTCTGGATTGTCTCTGAGATGAGCAGAGAGAAAACAGGCTCATTTTACTATGAACTTGATCAAAATATAATGAAGAATATGCTATCTAGGCAGAACAGTTATAGTACACATATATCTAACAGTCCATACACAGCCCCCAGTAAAACACACACTTGTGTAATACACTGCGGTGGTTCTCCAAGTGCGGCCCCTAAAACAGCAGCATCAGCACCACCTGGGAACCTGTAAGAACTGCAAAGTCTTGGCCCCCAGCAAACTGTGTTTTCACAAGCCCTCCAGGTAATTCTGATGTGCTAACGTTTGAGAACTGCTTATCTGTTTGGAATAGTTCTGTTTGCACATAATTGAGACTTAATAAGAGACTTGAAAGTCTGCAATTTCACTGGAAATGGAGAAACTGGCTGTGCTGAAAGAGCATGTGTATTTTCTGAGCAAACAGAACCCAACCATAATACTGGAGATCTTAAGGTAATAAAAGATATCCAAAATTCATTCATTTTAAGAATATATCATCTCAAGAGCCTACATGAGTATGACTGCTCCTCTGGAGTTGACTGTAACAGAATTTAACATGTAATAGGTGAAGTTCATTTTGCTCCAAGGAGGGAACAAATATACAGGTTAGGCACTCAGGAGCATTTTGCACTTAAGTGAGATTACTAGGTCAGTACACAGAAGACAACAAAGCCCAAAGTTAAGAACACACGGGCTTTGTAACTGAATTTAATAAGATTAAACCATTCAATCAATGGGGGTTAGTCATTTGGGGAAATTTTTCCAAAAGTAGCATAGCTTAAAATAGGATCTCTAGATCTATTTCTGATAAAATTACAGAACTTCTATAAATAGCAGGGCTCTTAACACTTCCATGTGTTTTTGGCTGGGGGACACAGAAGAAAAGAATAACCTGTGAACTCCCTGAAATGATACCCAAAATTTTACTGGCAGCTGTATTTTCCAGAGATGACCCATAGCTTACCCCTATACCCTCAAATCCGTCTGTGACCAAATGCAAGTTACAAACCAATACCACCACATGGTGAAAGGAAACCTGCCACTTTAAAGTGTATCTCATTTCCTAATATACGATAAACTGTAATTCTAGAACTAGTAAAACTCATGAGGTAGATGCAAGAAGAAAAGACTCTGATGATGAACAGAAGCACTGAACACCTACATGAGCGGTGAGGATAATAGCGTGCTCCCCAGCACTGTCAGGCGAAATGATTCTCTGAGACTACACTATCTCCAATTTTTCAATGGAATTATCTCTAAAGCAAAAAGGAATAATACGGGGAGAAAAAGAGGATCTAACTTTTCTTGGTTCTGTCTCTTTGCTCACCAAATAATTATATAAAAGACTTGAGGGACTTCCCCTGAGGTCCAGTGGTTAAGACTCAACGCTTCCACTGCAGGGAGCACAGGTTCAATCCCTGGTCGGGCAACTAAGATCCTGTATGCCTTGTGGCATGGCCAAGAAGTTAAAGAAAAAAAAAAAAAAAAAAAAAAAAAAAAGAATTGAGCCCCTTGAGATGTTCTATCAGAAAGATAGTATCCTGTACAGATGCCTAGTGCACCAAATTATCACACCCACTGTTGCTACCTGGTTTTAACTGCATCTGAAAGTTCGATTGGCCACTGTCAGAAACTCATTCTGCAATGTCCTCCTCCTGTTTCTGAATCTCCAGAGCTGAAGACTAGCATACGTGGAGGGTGATATCCCGAAGGTTCAGTCCTAGCCCTTTTGCTTTTTCTCAAAGATCATAATCTCTCATTACTTAAAGTCTTTTTCCTACACAAGTAGTTCCCAAATTTACATCTTTGGTCCTGACTTCCTCTGAGGCCCTCAATTCCTTACGCTCTCCATCTTCTTCCATAGGTAGTTATTTAATCACAAAGCACTGACAGTACAATCATGCCATTATACTATTTTTCACATATATTCTTTTCCTTTTGGTCCACTATCCCGTCCAGGCCCCCACCATCTCATACTGGCATTATGATATTAACTCCAAACTGTATTTCCTGCCACTGGTCTCTACCTCATTCATTACTGTCATATTAATCTTCCTGAATCATCACTGTGAATGCGTCACCTTTCTATTCAAAAACACTAACGATGTTCTAATGTCAACACAAGGAAGTCCAATTCCTTTGGGAAGACGTTCAAGGCCCTGTGCATTCTGGTCCCTTTTTCTCCAATCTCGTTGTTGGAACTCCTGTGCCCTAGACATTTGGTTCACCCACAAGGTCCCTAACACACACGTTTCTAATCTGTCTGCTGTTCTCCCTGTGTAGGACCCCTTCACTCCTCCTCTCTTGCCTCAGTAGCTTCCATCCTTCACGGGCAGCTTAAGTCTCACATCCTCCACTTATCTTTCTGACCACCTCTACCCAGGTGATGGTTTCTTCCTCTTAACTACTGCAGAAGACGCTGTCTCTAGTCTTTTGTTGTCCTTAGGAAATAAGGGGATGTGCCTCTTTTTTTTTTTTCTAAACTGATGTCAAGACTCCCTCATCTAACTGAGATCCCTTGAACTCAAGGTCCACATTGAAAAAAATCTCTGGCAGCTAACATAGTTGCCCCCTGTTATAAGGTGCTCAAAACTGAACTCCACTGCAATTCAAGTTATGGAACAACGTAACCAGAGAATCAGAATCCAACAGGTCCTGGAATCTGCAACAGGGAATGGCATCTGTGAAGTGGGCCCACAGGCCCATCAAAGCTACTGTCTCTAAGATAAGAATCAGTAGTACACAGCTGACCTGGTGCTTAGTGATGTATCTTTAACTATCAAGCACATAAAATCCCTTATCAACTGCATAAAATTTGGAAAACCATGACATAATAAATTCCTAGTAAAAAAAAATGACTAGACCAAAAGCTGTAAAGAAATGTAAATCGCATTCATTTTGTTAAGTGACCTTCTAATAGGATTCCCTCTGTAAGAATTACAGCTGTTGTCCCACCTTTATTCCCTTCATGCCCAGCAGATCTCTCAGGAAAGCATATAACCTACATGAATACTTGATGTAGAAAGGAGCTGTTCCAGCCATGGCTTTGCAGCAAGGGTGGGATTACTTCTTTGCCTGAGCTATTATTGGGAAGCTGGTAACAGCATGTAAAGAACAACATTCAGGTCCCTACCAATGAATCTGGCCTTACCCCAAATTTAGCAAATACACAATTATTCTCACAGAAGCAAGACAGCTGAGAAATAGAAATGAAGACCACAGACAATGCTGACCACCCTACCTCAATAGACCAAAGAGAATCTTCTAGAAACCTTAATTTTACCATGGATATTCCCAAAGGCAAGTTTAGGAAAGCACTATTATTCTGAATCAAAATAAAGAATTAGTATTAATTTACCAATAGACTATTTTCAATTTCAAAACAGAGCTACCTAAAGGTAACAAAGTCAGTGGTACAGCCCGGTAACTGAGGCTGAAGGGGACTAACTCCTAACAAGAATGCTTATGACCTGCAGGGACCTAGCTCAGAAGTAATCTACGCTGACATCTGTCTTGTGGCCACACAACTGATAAGAATAGGTTATGTTAGGGACTTCCCTGGTGGCATAGTGGTTAAGAATCCGCCTGCCAATGCAGGGGACATGGGTTCGAGCCTTGGTCTGGGAAGATCCCACATGCTGCGGAGCAACTAAGCCCATGAGCCACAACTACCGAATCCCGCGCACCTAGAGCCCATGCTCTGCAGCAAGAGAAGCCACCGCAATGAGAAGCCCGCGCACCGCAACGAAGAGTAGCTCCTGCTCTCTGCAACGAGAGAAAGCGCGCGCTCAGCAACAAAGACCCAACATAGCCCAAAGAAAAAAAAAGAATAGGTTAATTCATGAAATGACCATAAAACAGTATTTACAAGGACAATTCTAGCAAACTTTCATTTGTAAGAATTTTATGTGCCAACGTAACCTTGAGAACTGGACTCCTAGGCAGCAACGTCAACCAAGAAGTCACTGTCCTGTGTAACCCTGACTTATAAATATCTTTTCTTAGTTGGTTGGGTGCATATCAGTATCTCACCTCCTGAGGGACTGGGAATCAAGCTGCTGAGCATGTAAAAGTGAGAACCCAACCCTGGACTATTCTTACTCAGGGAGTGCACAGCCACCCTGAGAAGTCAACACCCAGGCAGCTGGCTGGCCTGAATCCTTTCTCTCTTTTCTTTTGTTTTCTTTTTATTATTTATTTTTTGGCTGTGTTGGGTCTTCGTTGCTGCGTGCGGGGTTTCTCTAGTTGCGGCAAGCGGGGGCTACTCTTCGTTGCGGTATCCGGGCTTCGCAGTGGCTTGCGGGGTTTCTCTAGTTGCGGCAAGCGGGGGCTACTCTTCGTTGCGGTATCCGGGCTTCTCATTGCAGTGGCTTCTCTTGTTGCAGAGCATGGGCTCTAGGCACACAGGCTTCAGTAGTTGCGGCAGGCAGGCTCATTAGTTGTGGCTTGTGGGGTCTAGAGCACAGGCTCAGTAGCTGTGGCGCACGGGCTCAGTTGCTCCACTGCATGTGGGATGTCCCCTGCATTGGCAGGTGGATTCTCAACCACTGCGCCACCAGGGAAGCCCTTTTTTTTTTAAACTAGATTGCAAGGTGGGATGCAGAACACAGCAAGTAAAAGGTAGGGAGAGAACATAACTCCAGTAAGGCACAACCCAGCAGGCAGAGGAGCATGGACGTTTCTGGCCCCCAAGTGTTGTCCCGTTCTCTACTGCACACGTCAGCATGTCCTGCTTCGGGTACCTGTGCAGTCTGGTCAAGGAGAACATGAACTTTGTAGCCCAAGAGCTTGAAGAGGGTGACGAGAGTGCTGTGGTCCACATCCCCTCCAGAGCGGAATTCCAGGTCTTTCTCGCCAGTGAAGCGCACATTGCTCAGCACCAGTGCCAGGCCACGAGGCCGAGACTGCAACCTATAGGCCTGGGGAGGGGAGGCCGATTAGACCATGAGCTTCTTGAGGACAGAAACTACGCCTCCCCCACTAGACGAGGCATTTCAAGAAAACAAAGACATCACGTACTTCTCCTTAATCCCACCAGGCCAAGTACAGAAATACCCACAGAACAAATTCAGTCGGCAATTATTTTCTGACTAATAAAGGCAGGAAAGAAATCTATATACACAAACTAAGTTCCGATGCCCAGGAAAGGTATCTCACTTCTCAACGCTTCTCCTCTTGCCATTTTGCAAGACTCACCAGCTGGTAGTGCGCTTGATAAAACTCAGGAGTGCAAGACTTCACCTGAAGGCTGGGAGGCCCATCTCCATGGTCTAGGGAGTGTTCCACTGTATCTGCGGCATAGAGAGCAGAAAAGCTGGCACACAACCTACACAGCAATCCTAGTACTTCATTGTAACTTCAGGCACCCTTTTCATAAAATTATTGGTCTTGCTCACGTCCCTTGTCTGTAAGCTATATGGGGGCAGAGACCCTGTTTGCTTTTGCTCACCACTGGATCCTCTGCACTTAGCCTGCGTATAGTAGTAGGTGCTCAACTGAGTCAATGACTGAATGGGGTATATGATAAAACTCTTGTTCTAATCACTAGGTTACTCAATCAGCAGGGTAGAGGCCCATGATGTAGTCTCTCCTCATCGTAAAATAACTAAGCTTTACAGAGGAGACAGGCCAATTGTATGCAGGAACTTCCTACCTGCACAAGTTGCTCCAAGGGCCGATCACCATTAAAAAACCATCTATGATGTAAGAAAAACAGGCCCAACCCAGAGCCCATCTAAACTGTCCTGCTGGTCCCTAACAAATTCACTGAGGAAACCGTTCCAATATGAACGAAAATAGGTTTCACACTAGGGCAAAGTCAGATGCCAGTCAAGGAGACGGAAGTCAATCTGCGGGACCCATTTTACGCCATCGATTCTCACCTGGAGACAGGCGGCGCTGCTTGCGGGGGCGACAGGACTCACACACCGGGAAAGGGAGACTCAAGTTGTAGTCGCAGCTCAACTGTAAGAAAGCAGGACCCCGGCCCCGTACCAGGCCTTAGGGAGCTGGTCCAGCCCAAATAATACAGAAATCTAGTCCTGTTCCCCACTTCACCACAGTCTCAAAAATGCCCTTCCCACCAAACCAACCCTTCCCAACACACCACATGTCTAGGGCTCCATACCGGTGGGAGTATGTGCTGAAGACCAGCCAGGGTTGTGAGCAACAGGTCCTCCAGGTGACCCTGCTTGGTCTCCCTCAGGGCCACACAGAAGGCATCAAAAGCCTGGGGGCCCCTCTTGGGCAGCAAGTTGAGGAGTTCCACATTCTGGCTGAAACTGCACACCTTGGCCTACAATACAAGGATAAAACATCACATCTACTTAGCCAGCTGTAATTCTGTTTCTCCAGATGAGCTTCCCAGTAACAGCATCATCCATCTCAAGAACTCCTTTTACAGAAAAACAGGTACGTGGGAAGTCCTTCCCCCATTATTCTTGAACTATATGTCTTTTCTGTTAAATGCTCTAGGATAGAAGAGCATTTTCATTTCCTTAGTAAAGCACTACATCTTTTTCACACTTTACTATGCTCTGTTCCTCTTCCTACCACTAATATATTTACTTGGCTTTTCTCTTTTGCCTTCAGATACCTGAATGTGCTCCCTCATTTCCAAGGTGATAATGTCCTTCTCCAGGAGATGTTCTAACAGTTCACTCAGCAACAGCTGTTTGGCCAGCACCACTCGGTTCTTTCTTAGAGCTTCCTGATGGTCAGGATGCATGCCATACACTCCCAGTATCCTACAGATAAAAGAAAGAAAAGCTGTCAAGTACAAGATCTGGCACAGAGAAGTGGAGTGGAAGAGGCGTGGGTAGGAGAGATATAAAGAACAGGACTTATGATAACTAAAATGAGACATATTTTATTGAACGTGCTTAAAATCATAGAAGTATTAAGCAGTAACACACTGATCATAAGGAAATGCTATACAATCCTTTATGGAGGATGTTCAACGGAGACCATCTTCTGAGATGAATGGTCTGATGAGGGGAAATATCTATCGTGACAAAAATAATACACACACGAGTAGACATTCTCACAAGAAGGAATATTCCTCCGTCTGACCGACCAATTTTTCATTAAGGAGTATTCCAGAAAACATTTCACACTATTTATCTAAGCTGCTGACAGTGATATGAATCTAAAATAATCCTTTTTTTAATATATAAATTTATTTATTTTACTTATTTATTTTTGGCTGTGTTGGGTCTTCGTTGCTGCATGCTTTCTCTAGTTGCGGTGAGCGGGGGCTACTCTTTGCTGCAGTGTGCGGGCTTCTCATTGCGGTGGCTTCTCTTATTGTGGGGCATGGGCTCTAGGTACGTGGGCTTCAGTAGTTGTGGCACGCAGGCTCAGTAGCTGTGGCTCGAGGGCTCTAGAGCGCAGGCTCAGTAGTTGTGGTACACGGGCTTAGCTGTTCCGCGGCATGTGGGATCTTCCTGGACCAGGGCTCGAACCCATGTCCCCTGCATTGGCAGGCGGATTCTCAACCACTGTGCCACCAGGGAAACCCCACAACTATGGTTTTTAAAACGGTAAGTTCCTGTGACAAAATAACACTAGAAATGACCAGGATCCTATAAGAACCGAATTAAGTAAAAATCTGACGGAAAGTCACAGTAGATAAATGTCAATGATGAAAACAATCAACATAACCTGAAATCACTCAAAGAGTTAAAGCATGTAAAGGCGAAATTATTTTGGTAATTTAGTTTACGAGGGATGTCTTCATTTCAAGGATTCCTTAGTTTTGCTATGCGTTTGGAAAGAGTTCAGCTTCTGTTGATGAACTCAAAGAATCCCATTTCCGGGTGAGAGGGAGACACAAGAGGGAGGAGATATGGGGATATATGTATACGTATAGCTGATTCACTTTGTTATAAAGCAGAAACTAACACACTATTGTAAAGCAATTATACTCCAATAAAGATGTTATAAAGAAAATAAAAGAATCCCATTTCCAGTGTGTAAGATTTATGTGCCTAATTTATATAAATCCAGGGTGTGCCAGCCTGCTTAGTCACAGTTTCCAAGTACATGACAACAGTAAGGACCTGATGGCAGTGAGAAAGGAATATGGTACCAGCTTCAGATTATAACTTAAAAAACCTATTTTAAAATGCATCCCGGGGGTTTCCCTGGTGGCGCAATAGTTAAGAATCCTCCTGCCAATGCAGGGGACACGGGTTCGAGCCCCGGTCTGGGAAGGTCCCACATGCCGCGGAGCAACTAAGCCCCTGCGCCACAACTACTGAACCTGTGCTCTAGAGCCTGCGAGCCACAACTACTGAGCCCATGTGCCACAACTACTGAAGCCCGCGCGCCTAGAGCCCATGCTCCGCACAGAGAAGCCACGGCGAGAAGCCCGTGCACCGCAACGATGAGTAGACCCCGCTCGCCGCAACTAGAGAAAGCCTGCACAGCAACAAAGACCCAATGCAGCCAAAAATAAATAAATAAATTAATTAATTAAAAAAAAAAAAAGAATCACCTTGGAACACACCAAAGCAGTTAACAATGACAACATGTATGAACTCTCATAAAAATAAGTGTTAACAGTTCAGTCGCAAAATAACATCGTAGCTGGATTCTGGGTATTTCCTCAGGATACACACCAATGGTGGGGTGGGTTTACTCGACTTTTTTCCCTTAATTTACCAGTAGCATTTTCTCCTTAAAACTTTCTCCTCCCTTGGTTTCCATGACACCATTCTCTCCAGTTTCCCTCTCTGCTTACTAGGTCCCCGTTTCCTTCACAGGACCTTTGGTCTGCCCTTAAATGTTGACATTCCATTAGGAAGCCCCCTCAAAAAGCCTCTCCCTACTCAGTATCATCCACACAATTCACTAATCGACTCCCCGTTCTTAACTCTAAGTTATAGACTTGAATTTTCAATCAATAACTTATTAGGTTTAATCTGAAGCAGTAGCCATTCTACACACACCTGCTCCTTGCAGGATTCCATACTACGGGGAGAGTCTCAAAGGTGGACTTTCCAAAAGTAACCACAATCACCAAGAACTTTAGGACACATCGGGAAAGGGGGGAGGGGGTGGAGGAAAGGACACAAAGGCGATTCTTAAGTCTTGATTCTGTGTCCTTCTGCAGGTTCTGGTTCCAAAGTCCTCAATTCATCACCTGGGTCTGGACCGGGAGGCATTAAAATGTTATCCTGGGTGATGTCTGCCATGATACGATTTAACTGGGGCAGAGGCTGAGACACTCGGAGCCTCGGGAACCTCCTTGTCTCAGAGTACTCAAACCCCAAAATCTGTGTTGACTGCTGTGAAAATCTGGTCATTACACCCAACGCAATACGGATCATGATATATTCAATCCGAAACAAATGCACATGAGGCAGAATTCCGAGATCTGCAGGTCTCATCGGTTTTTATGAGTACAGAGTTTAGTTCCTCAAAAGGGAACCGAGGGAAAGAAAGAATAAAGAATCCTTTAACAGAAACCGAGATTTGACAGGACTGGAAAGAGCTCGCCTGGTTCAGAGCCTCCGGGGTTGGAAGAATGGAGGCTGGGGAGTCTTTTGCTCGAGAGGGACAAGGCCCAGAAGAGATTCGCCCGCCCGCGCTCCCCTCGGGGGTTCAGCCGGCCTCCCACCCTTGGCTGGAAGCTTGGACAACGCGGCTTCCAGGGGCTTCGAGGGGAGGGGCCCCAGGGCCATACGCCTAAAACCCACGTCTCCCTCCCTGGGTCCCACTACGGACCCCTGGGACCCTCCCCACTCACCTGCGCCCCCTATCAGCGGCCATCAGCCCCTTTTGCTGCAGGGCGGACCGGGAGCCCGCGCTCGGCGCCGCCATTTCCCGGGCTGTGCGCGCACCGCCCACAACCCAAACAAACCGCGAGCCCTCTGGTCCTCCGCATCCCTCCCCCGTCCGCCGGCGCGCAAAGCGCCTGCGCGCTGCTATCCCAGCTCCGCCCCCACGCGAGGCCGGCCGCGCCGTCGCAGGAGCGCGCGCAGGCGCGGAACCCACGCGGCGGACTCGCTGTCCAATGGGGTGAGCGAGCGCGCTCGGCGGAAGGGGAAGCGAGGAGCCGCCCCGCCCTACTTGGCCATCCGATTAGTCGTCGGTTCCCGCGGAAATCACAGCTCCCTCCCCGGAACCGCCCACCTCTCCTCACCCGCCTGTTGCAAGAAAGGTATGGAGATGGGTGTGGCCGGACTTTTCACTTTATTAAAGTTAACTGTTGGGACCAGGGTAAGGAGGACAAGGACAGCACTAGAAGGCGCTAGACAGATACCCGCGCAAAGAATGAGCGTGGGTCAGCGATGGTTGGCTCAAACCTGCATCGCAGGCACAGCACATGATTAGAGAAGCTGGTGTTCTGTTTGGATCTGAGGAAGCAGGGCAGGGGGTCCTCGGGTAAAACCCAGCGGGGTCAGGCGCAGGGGTGAGGCTGAAGCTATTGCAGACAGTGCAGGTGTTTCCAGTGCTTCATAATAGATAATGCAAGAGGGATCCTTAGATGCTCCACCACCCCTCGCCAAGGACCTCGGGTTTTCTCTTTTCTGACCATCATATCCACCCATCCTCAGAATCAGATGTCCCTCCCCCTGGGGCAGTTTACTCCACTGCTTCTAGATAGGATGGGACCCTGCACTGGGGACTGCTGTCTAGCCCCCCCCCCCGCCCCCCGGGGCAGGACTTTCCCATTGGAGCAGGGGCCATCACAGTTTTGATCAGCTCTGCTCCTCTAGGAGGCTGGGCACACTCCTGGTCCCACTCAGCAGTCCCTGTCTGCAGACACAGCTGGTCCTCCATTCTGTCTACACGAAGTCTTCTACCCCTCACCAGCCATTGACCAAGACGGAAATTGAGAGGTGTGCATGAAATGGCTTCTGTTGCCTTGTATTGAAAACACAAGGGCTATGGGATCAGAAGAGCAGAATTCAAGACATTTGTGTGTTATTTACTAGCGCTGTGCCCCTGTGCAAATTATCAATTTTTTCTGACCCTTAGGATCCTCATTTTTCAAATGAGGACAATACCTCATTTTTGTGATCTAATAGAGGCAAAGCACCTGGAACAGAAGTAACAGAGCTGTCACTCAGATATTGTTTCTTTTCTTCCTTCACTACATTCTCTGGAATCTCCTCATCTCACCCTCAGTCTAACTCTGGAAATACCAGGTATGGGGTAGGTCACTGAATATTGCCTGAAGGCTCAAATTGTGCCGCCTACATCCCTGGGATGTGCCACTGTAAAACTGGGAAGGGCTCACCATAGCCTCACTCCCCTCTGGGTTAAAGTCATCATTTGTGACATCCAGGTGGAGACGCAGTTCCTGACACATAACAGGCACTGGGAAGCATTGTTCGAATGAATGAGTGGGTCTGGTGCAGAAAGATGATATATCCTGGGAAAGTCCTTTAGGGGGGTGTCCAGTTGTTTCCATAGAAAACATCATCATCAAGGTGACCAAAGCTGACATCGTAGGCAGGGGGTGGAGTAAGAGGTTCCAATTTGGGGGGCGCCCACAAGCTCTGCAGATCAGGAACAGTGGACGCAACTCGTCGTCCCCGAAGCCGCAGGCTGACTGGAGATCTTCCAGGGCTTCCTGAGATCACAGACCCCTCTGAGCCCACTCGCCTGTCCAGTCTGGCTCTCCTGGGCTCCTCTAGATGGCTAGGCTGTCCCACCTCAAGTTCTGGGGGGGTTACAACACTGGTGTAGGAGGGTGGTTTATCCACCCCTGGGGGGTGGCACTGTGATTCCAACACTGTGGCCTCTTCGTAGGTTGGCACCTCAAAGGCTTCATTGTCCCTGAAGGCGGGGGGGGG